CCCCCTCCAGCTGCCCCATGGGTGGCACTGCTGCCAGCGGGGGTCTCTGTCGTTGGGTGCTTGGTGGCTGGCACGTAACAAGCTGATCTGCCCCTGCAGGTATCGCTCTCCTGGCTTCCACGTGCAGTCCTGGTATGACGAGGTGAAGGACTACACCTACCCCTACCCCCACGAGTGCAACCCCTGGTGTCCAGAGAGGTGCTCTGGGGCCATGTGCACCCACTACACACAGGTAAGGCTGAAGATCAGGTGTGACCTCAGCCTGGCACCCCCAAACACTGTCACTCACCTGGCCCTGTGGGACTGTTGCCCAGTCAGAAAACCTCTGCTCTATCATTACCTTAAGTTTTTCCTTTAATTCAGCACTACTCAAAGTATAGCTGGTGGGCCAGGCTGTTTGTGGCCAGTTCACAAATATGGAAACTGAGAGTAAGCGCTGGAAACTTCTATGGCAGCTTTACATTGCTGGGGAATTTTCCTTGTGTGTTTTTTTGTTCTTTTTTTTTTGTTTGCTTTTGTTTTAAAGAAATGTGTGGCTCTTTAATGGGGTCAGGGGAAGAATCTGGTCCTTCACCTCTTCACTACACACCCCTTTAGTGCCAGCACCTTGTGGATCCAGACCAGATTATATCACCCTGGTCATTGGTCCCTTGAGCTCAGATGTATGGATGTCATCTTTTCAGATAGTTTGGGCCACAACCACCAAGATTGGCTGTGCTGTGAACACCTGCGAGAGGATGAATGTCTGGGGAGATGTTTGGGAGAATGCGGTCTACCTCGTCTGCAATTACTCTCCAAAGTAAGAACAAGTGACGTGGTTTTATGGGTTGGGGTGTGTTCGCCTGCTATGGAAGACCCAACTGAAACTGGCTTCAGTGGTAAAATCTCTTTATTATTTCACATAACAAGGCATCTAGAGGTTGGTGCGTCTAGGTTAGCGTAATAGCTCAGCATGTCAATGAGAACTTTCTGTCTTCTTGCTGTATTGTCCTCTCCTCATGGTCCCAAGATGGCTGCAGAGCACCAGGCATCACATCTTCCCAAACAGAAGGGAAGAGAATGGTAGAAAAGGCCTGTCTCCTTAGGCTTTTCTCACCCCTGGCCCACTTTCTCCTTATGTCATTGGCCAGAACTAGACCACTCATGGACAAGGGAGAACAAGAGTGCCCCAGTTGGCTTTGACCAATGAAATTGCCCCAGTTGGCTTTGACCAATGAAATCGCCCCAGTTGGCTTTGCACGTCACCCCCTGGGGCTACTTGAATAAGTCAGAAGCAGGAGTAGTTGGCTGGGCAACCAGTGGGGTCTGTCATAGAGATTCTTTTTCTCTGAAAATACGCAGCAGATAGCACTCTAGAAAATAGGTATTCATGCTAGCCCTAGTTTTTGCATCTTTATATTTCCCCTCCCAGAAGGGACCTCGTCACACCTTTAGGTCATAGTCCCACTTCCTCTTGACAGCATCCTGATGTCATCAGTGTGTCCCTTATCTCTTTACTCATTCACCTCCGTTGCTCATCAGACAAGTGTGTGCTGATTCTCAGAGACCGGCTCACCCAGTTATAGCCTATGGTTTGCACACTGGCCACTGGGCTGGCCGCCATCCTAGCACTGGGCCCTGCATGCAGTGTGCCCTTGAGGCATGTTTTCTCCATGACTGCATGAAACAGGAATGACCTCATTTACTGGGTTGGATCAGGAGTGGCCGTGAGAAGGTAGGATGAAGAGGGAATCGCTGAGGTTGGGAGGAAAATAGAAACTCTCCGTAAACCATCTGGGACGCCTGTGGTAATGATGTCTCAGGCAGCCCACGGGGATGAGGGCAGGGGGGTTACGTCATCCATGGGAGGGACCTGAGCCCCATGGAAGAGCAGTAAGGTGGTCCCCATGGTGGAGCTCGTTGCAGAGTGGCAGGTGGGGAGTGAGGAATCATTTGATTTAAGTCTTTATATTAAAAAATACACTAGAAGATCCAACCAGAAATACCATTCTTCCCTTATTTAGTCTTTACCGCTTTCTTGAAAAAGTAATGACTTGTGTACAGTAAAGTACACTAATCCTAAGAGCACAGCTGGATAAATTTTCACACATATAGACATGTATTAGTCAGCTCAGGCTGCCGTAACAGAATACCACAGATCGGGTGGCTTGAGCAATACACATTATTTCTCACAGCTCTGGGGGCTGGAAGTCCAGATCAGGGTCCAGCAGGGTCAGTTTCTAGTGAGGAGTCTCTTTCTGGCTCATGGATGGCCACATTCTCCCTGTGTCTCCACATGGCGTTTCCTCAGCGTGTGCTGGGGGTTGGAGGGGGAGGGAGAGGGAGGGGGAATTGAGCTCTCTGTGTCTCTTCTTATAAGGACACTAATCCTATCAGAGTCCCACCCTTGTGACCTCATTTAACCTTAATCACCTCCTCCGAGGCCCCATCTCCAAATGCAGCCACGTTGGGGGGTTAGGGTTTCATCATACGGATTGGGGGGGCTGGGCACACACGTTCAGTCCATGCATGTGTATATGCATTATGTATACCTGTGTAACTAGTCCCCAGGTCAAGGGAGGGAGTATTTCCAGGGCCCCAGGCTGGAAGCGGGGGGCTCCCTCATGCCCCCCAGAGTGGCTGACATTCTGACACCCCTCCCCATCGGTCAGTCTGTCTGGTTCGGACCCTCCTGTGAATGGACAGATATGCCCTCTTGTGCCTGCCGTCTGCCTTTCAACACCGTGTCTGGGAGGTTCGTCCGTGGTGTTGTGTGTTCGGTGGGCATTTTTTTTCAGATGTCTTTGTGGTTTTCCATGATGTCCACGAGCCTCTTTCTTCAAGAGTCTGAGCCCCTGGCCATGCAGGGGGCAGTGGCTGAGAGGGTGGGCCCTGGGGTGGTGTCTGGGCTCAGGTCTCTTTGGGAGGGGGTGGGGTGGGGTGGTCTTGCGCCCTGACGGCCTCATGGCTGGGGGTAGGGTGCTCACTTCCTGGGGCTGTTGGGAGCGGGGAGGGTGCCCGTCTACAAGACGCCTAGCCCCCAGCCCGCATCCACGACCGGTAACCCGGAGAGCTGCTGCTCCAGCTGTGTGGGAGACTTGGTTTGTCGCTGAGGAAATGTGGAACCTACCTGTGCTGGTGCACTTGGCTGGGGGAGGGGAGGAGCCTGTCTGGGAGGCCCGGAGTGTCTGAAGAAACCTACTGAGCCCCACCTGGTGACAGGGCAGGTGCTGGGGTCCCCTGGGTCCGCCGGGTGATGGTCCATTTGGGAGGGCCATCCCGAAGCCCCCCGTGCGCCCCTAGCCAGCCTGCACGTGGGGCCGAGGTGCTCAGCGAGGCAGCCTGGTGGGGGGTGTTATTTTCCATCCACGGGTGCAGACTATAACAGCACCCCCCAGCCGCCCTCCCACCATCCCCAGGCCCGATGCCCGCGTGGCCCTGGGTGATGCCGTTCCGCTATTTTGAGCCGTCCGGGGCCAAACAGAGAGTGTGTTTTCTGCAGTTGTCTCCCGGCCATCACTCTCAGGACCCCTCCTTGGCCACCCTGGACAGCTGTCAAAAACGTCAGCCAATGAGGATGTTGATTGAGCAAATGCTCACCAGGGGCTGGCCCCAGTCTGGGGCATCCACACAGACGCCCTCTTCATCTCATGACCACCCCCCGTGGTTACCCCACTACAGAGAAGGGGGCAGAGGCTCAGGGTCGAGGGGCATTGGCTGGGTTCACCCGGCTGGCAGGGCCACGTCCAGCCCCGGGAGTCTGCTCATCACCGCTCGGCCATGCTTGGCCCAGGATCGGGGCCGCCAGTCTCTTTCCTGAGTGGACAGACAGGTGACAGGGCACCCATGAAGGAAGTTTCTAGAACAGATCACGAAGACTGGCTCCCAGTCACTCACCTCTCCGGCTTGTGCTGCTAAAGGCCCAGGTGCTGGGAGAAGGGTTTGGGAATTGCACTCACCGCCTGCAACCTGGCCCCTGGAGAAATCCCACCGACCGGCCTCTGGTTTTCCTGCCCTGGGAACTTCAAAGGGAGGCGGATGGCGGAGGGACCTTGGTCCCAGCCCCGAGAGCAGAGTGTGGTCAAAGGCTCTGAGGCCCACGGCCTGGGTTCAAATCCCAGCCCTCCCACTCCCTTGTTGTGTGAACTTGGGCAAGTCCCTTAACCTCTCTGAGCCTCAGTTTCCTCTTCTGAAAAAGGATTGAACTCCAGCACGTCCCTCCTGGGGTGTTGGAAGGATGGCGTGAGCAGGTAGGTACGTGGTAAACACGAGGCACTCCCTGGAACAGGCTGACCTTTACTCATTTGAGAAATGGCTTCAGAGGATCCCAGCCGTTTCCAGTGCAGAGGCATCGGGGCTGGGACTGCGGGTGGCTGACAGCATTCAGAGTTGCGTGAGGCCACAGGACAAAGGTGCAGGGAGAAGGATGCTTTGTAGCTCCCGACTGGGATTCTTCTGGAATTCTCTAGACTCTGTACACAGGAGGGGCTCAGGGCAGGTGCCTTTCCCCCTTCACACCTTCCTTCCTCCCTGACCGTGTCTGGGGTCCCGAAAGGCTCCAGAAAGGAGCGAGAAGCCCCCCGGGCCCTGGCGTGGCGGCCCCCTGACGGGGTTTCTGGTCTGTCCTCAGGGGGAACTGGATCGGAGAAGCCCCCTACAGAGCTGGCCGGCCCTGCTCCGAGTGCCCGCCCAGGTACGGAGGCAGCTGCAGGAACAACTTGTGTTACCGAGGTAGGAAACGACTTCAAAACCCTTTGGAATGGGCGTCCCCTCCAGTCCCTGAGTCACAGAGTGGCTGACGTGAAACGGGGAAGTTGGACAATTTGGGGGGGAAATTGGTCCCTCCTGCCCTCCCCCTCGGCCCTCCCCTCCTCGCCTCCCCATCTCTGGACTCAGGGTTCAGCCCCAGCTCCCCGGGGATACGGCTGCCCCTGGGACCTCCCCACAGTGGGCGTCTCCCGTGGGAGGCATCCCTGCTCTCTTGATGCTCAGAGTTTGGTATAAAACAGACAACAAACAAGGAATTTAAAACGGCCACGTGATTAATGGTCCGGGCGAGCTGCAGGCCGGGCAGGGGCCGCCTCCGCGGCTTGTCAGAGCCCCTCCTGCCGGTCCTTGTCCCCCGCAGGCCACCCAGCCGTGTGTGCAGCTCGTCCGGCCCTTACTCGTCAGAAACAGCTCAGGCCAAGCCGAGCTCTCAAAGGCTCTCAAAGGCCGTGTTTTCCGGCGATGCCAGCATTTGCTTATTGCCTGCGGCTCAGAATGTTCCCACGTTCCCCGCTCCTGTGAATAATGTGCGTTTTTCGTGCCTCAAGTGCTGCTCGCATTTGGGACTGTTTCCTCCGGCTCCGTCCCAGAAGGAGCAGAGCCCGCCAAGGGGCTGACCGTGTTTTTGAGGTTGAGGTGTGTTTTTTTTCCCGTGGCTCCATTAACAGGTCTCGTAATGGCTGAGAGGGGTCTTTCAGGAGAGGTGGGACTGGGGGGGAAACGCAGGATCAGTCCCGTGGGCTCCGGGGTGAAGCGTGGGGCTCCCAGACCCTCCCAGGCCCGCTGTTCGCTACTGATTCTGCGCACTGCGGGGAGGGCGTGGGGATCTTGCCGGGGGGAGAAGCAAGGATATGAGAGTCCAGTCCGTGCTGGTCCCCTGGGTCATGAGTTATATGCGGGTGGCTGAGCCCCCAGGGGGAACTCAGGAGGCCCAACCCAAAGTCTGGACATTAGGCTTCTGGTTCTGGCTCTGCATGATTGGAGGCTGTTCGCTCAAGCCAGCTGATCACTCTACCCATCAGCGAAATGGGTATGATAACTCCAGCCTTCCGTGACGTATCTCGGGCTCAGATGAGAGAGTCGGTGCGTCTGGTGCGAGTGTATTGAGCGCCTGCCGTGTGCCAGGACGTTGCCAGGGGATAGGGGGGGTGGGGATGCCTGTGGGGACCCGACAGTCACCGTCCTGCCCTCGGGAACGTGAGGTCCAGCGGGACCACTGCCCCGAGGAGGGACACGCGTCTTTCAGGGGACGTAACGGATGCCTCAGGGCTTAAGAGCAGGAGTATCCACCATCAGCCAGGTCAGGGAAGGCTTCCCAAGCGGGCGGCTATTGAGGCAGAGGACATGGCCTAGTAATGAGAGAAGGGAAGGGTGTTTCTGGCAGGCGGAACAGCATGTGCAAAGGCCTGGAAGATGAGGCATCGCGGTCACGAGACTGTGAGGCAGAAGGGCCCACAGGGATGTGCAGGTCCCGGCAGTGCCTGCCACGCAGCCGGGGCTCTGTAAGCTTTTGTTAGATGGAGTTTCTCCTGCCCTCCCACCCCCTCTCAGGCAACACACCTCTTCACTCTCTTTGAGAGGGAGGCGCCCACACGTGTCCTTAGTGAAATATTCCCAGACAGCCCAACTCTGCCTCCTGGATTCCTGGGATAAGCGTGGGTGTTAGAGTTCGGCACACCTGCCTGAGGAATATCAACCCTACGTGTCCCAGCGGTGAGCACCTGGGCAGGGCATTTCATCTCTCTGAGCCTCAGTCTTCCTGTGTGAAAATGGGGTGATGTGTCAGCCCCTGAGGGTCGTAGGAGGGCTGAGAAGAATGCAGGCTGACACTCCAGGCATATCAGGCCGCAAATCCCCATTCAGGCAGGTCCTGTGGCTGCTGTCCAGTCACCCAGAGGGGCAAATCCCCCCATCAGATCCTGAGTGCTGATTTGGGGATCGTGAGGGAGGGATGCCCACTGGGGATCCCCGTTGGTTCTCGCATTGGGAGGGGGCTCCGCGTGCGCACAAGGCAGGCTGTCAGGGTGCAGGGCAGGCAGAGCGGGGCGTCTCTGCGTTCCTGGACGCGTGTGCTCAGGCACACCGCTTGCCTTCTTTGAGCCTCGGTTTCCCCATCTGTAAGAGCGATGACATCGTTCTCCCGCAGATGATTTGCTGGGAGGATGCAACACGGAGGATGTGAGTTGCTAGGACAGCAGCCTTAGTGCCTTATGAACACAGCTCATTACTTCCTTGGAGAGGTGGGAGTGGGGAGGTATGACTGCGCTTATCACCTGGCGTGGGGTTCTTCCTCACCTGGGAGGTACTGGGGGCCCTCTCCCAGCCTGGGGGCCCCATCCATCTCAGGATCCTGGCAGACCCCTTCTCTTCTCGGGAAACACAGCTCTGGTGTCACACCTCCTCCAGGGAGACTTCCCTGAGTCCACAGACAGGCAGCCCACCTGCCTCCGTGCTCTTACTGCACCCAGACTCTCCTTGCACTTGATTCACCTGTAGTTACAACGGCTGGTTCACTCCCGGGCCTCCAGGGCCACGTAGCAGGTGTGTTCTGCATGTTGTCTGAACAAATATACCCCTGATATCCACAGAGGGTCATTTTCGAAGAACAAATGCACACAAAGATAGCCTAGATGCTGGTTAACCCACCCAATGAAGCCTCCTAGACTTGTTTCTTTATTTTTGGTGGAAAATGCCCAACTTCACTTGGTGGGCGTCCCGATTTTCTTAGCTAACCGTGCAGAAAGTCTCTTCTAAAGCAGCTTATCTGCGTAAGCTACTTAATAAGCATTTATTGAGGTTCCTGGCAAGGCCTTGACCTCTAATGGAGATGGAACAGGGATAAGGATAGACCGTAAGAGAAGATTCCATCCCTCCAGCCCTTCCCTGTGTGGCGAGGAAGGGCGTGGACTTTGGGGAAAGGTGATTTATTTGACTCTCAGCTGTGTGAGCTTGGGCAGGTCACATAGCCTCTCTGAGCCTCAGTTTTCCCGTCTGTAAAATGGGGCTGCTCATGCCTCCCAGGGAAACGAGAGGATGAGGTGAGAGCTTCATCCCCACTTATGGAACCAGGCGGGAGTCTGCAGAATGATGGAGCAATGCTGTGCGCCTTGAGACCCCCGGTCCGGAGCTGGCCGGTGCACGGGGTAACCTTGCCGCGAACTTGGGCACGGAATTTCCCCAGGCCTGTGCTGGTCCACACAGGGGATCTTAATTAGGATGTGATCAAATACAGCCCGTCCTCTGGGTAAGCATTCCACTTTTCATGTGTGTGTCTGAGGGCGAGGACCGTCTACCCATTTTCTTAAATAGTGAGCCCTCAAATGCTTTAGACTGCTTTACCCAACTATATTTGGCTAAATAAAGCCACGATTATGAGGTATAAAAATCCTAAAGGCCAGTGGAAGAAAACCCAGCTTATTCCAGAGACAGCTCTGGCTTTCAGTGAAGGACAAACCTGAATAGCCACATTGACGGGAAGACAGACAAGAGACGGCCGCTGGGTCCCAAGTGGTGTTTGCAAACCCAGCATCTTCATAAAGATTTCACCTATAGCGTTTGGCTACAAATGGTGTGTTCAGAATTCCCTTCCTGGATGTCTTTAAGCTTTGCTGGGACTATTTTTTTTTTTTCCCCAAAAGAATTCCAAGACAGAATTTGTTGGGCATTTTGATCATCCTTCACTCAGTACATTTTGTTGAGCAGCTACTATGTTTTGGGAGCTGGGTGTAGTGTGGTGTGAAGCAGGCTGGCTGCTGGCCTCAGGGAGTTTCCAGCTGGTGGGGGAGGTGGGTGGTGGTGAGCACGCCATCCAGGAGCAGTACATGGAGGTCCATGAGCTCTGATAGTGAACTTGGGACTCAGGGTTGCTGTTCTCCTCCGGCTTAAATCCTGTCCGTCCTCCTATGAGTCAGGGTAGTGGTTGTGCCGTGATGAATCGGCCAGTGAAACAGCTGCAGAGCATCCCAGCCTTGAAAAGCATCAGAGAAGTGTCACTTGCCCTTCATATTCTTGAATGTCTTGTATCAACGCAAACCCTTGGTCTGCTTTTTGGAGAAAAGTTGTTGCTCTTCAGAAGTAAGGATAAGGCTGGGGATTGGTGAACACGTGATGGGACTTGAGTTTTAATCCGTTGACACAGAGAGGCTGCAAGGGCGCTTCATTCCTGCTCCTTGAAACCGTTCTTACCCAAACACGTCTGTTGTCTTTTCTCATTGGAGGAGCTTGGAAGGCAGGGGTTTCCACCTCGGGTCCACAGACATCCTTGGAGGGGCGGGGGTCCCCCAGCAGAGATGCGCACTGATTCATCTTTGATAAGGGTGCTCAAGGAAACCCAAACAGCAATACTTTGCTCTACTTTGGCTGGAATTTATGCTTTGGTATCCAGCTGGCCTGATTACACATCACAGTGAGTGGTTAATAGTTGACTTTCATGACGAAAACTGGAAGATAAACTGATGCTTAATAAATGCAGTGTATTCGGTGAATTAGAATGTTTTGAAACATGAAGGTCATGGTCATGGTTGGAGAAATAATAATATTTGGGTGGGGAAAATATTGGGGCCCGAAGAACTAAGTGTTTTAACCAAGAGTTGGGTCTTTGGCTCGTTCTAGATGATGGTTCCAATGTTATTGGGCTTCGAAACTTCAGTGCAGAGAAAGGTTAAGTGATCTTGGCCTGCAGGAGTGGGGAAGGAAGCAGAATGTGCTGGTGGTGAGGGGCTTTGGGGTCCAAGACCATTGACGAGGGTCTTCGTGTGCCATGACGGCGTGTAAATGAGGCGGACCCCTCCTCCAGTGAGAACCTAGGGCCAGAGGCACCTCAGCGGAGACAGCTACGGTTTGGGGTCAGAGGATGAGGCGGCTTCCTGAAGCTGCTTCCTTGGGCAGAGACGGGACAAGAAACCATTCTGATGATCCAGGGGTGGGCGCCAGGGCCTTCTAACCTCTGGTCAGCCCAGCCGCTCTTGTGTCAAAAGCAAACACAGTGACCAGAGAGCCATCCACCGCCCCTTGGCGGGGAGAATTCCACCTGGCCAGCACTGTCCTGAAAGGTAACTTTCTCTTTGCCACTGAAATGACCCTTTGTGAAGCCAAACCTCGAACAACTTTAGTTTCCAAATTGCTTCTTTATTTTTTCCTAAATGCATTTTGGTTGAATCCCAGCATGTTGCTTTTCTCTCCCTCTTCACTATTAAGAGACATACGACCAGAAACCTGAAACGGACGAGATGAACGAGGTGGAAGTGGCCCCCATTCCTGAAGAGAAGCACATCTGGGTCCCGCCGAGGGTGATCAGACCCACGAAGCCCAAGAAAGCCCCTGCCGTGAACCACATGAGTGAGTGGGGCTCTGCCCTCTGCCAGCCGCCTCTGGAGGGGGCAGTTTTCTTTGGGGTGGGCAGAGGAGGGAAACTGGTGGGTTGAGAGGTCTCCAAGTCGACAAACAGCAGGGAACAGGGTGGGGTGTAGCTTGCAAAAAGCACAACTTGAAGATGTTTCTAAAAAATGATATTTTTAAGTCATTTCAAAAGAAGCATTATAGGAGCTGTGCTTGGGTGGCCTTTTCCCCCCTGGCAGGTATTTTAAGGTTAGACCTTCTCTTGTCCTTTCAGAGAGGACTTGGGCTAAAATTGGGTTCCTGTTGGAAGTGCCTGGCTCCCAAAGGGAGAATGAACGTGCAGCGTGGAGCCCGGCTCCCGTGGTCATCATGCACCAGCCCTGTGACTCGGACAGTCACCCGACTCTGAGAGTCGATGTGCTCGTCCATAAAGTGGGAGCAGTGATGCCTCTGTCAGCATTTTTTTAAATCAGTGAGATATGCACCTGTGCATTTCATATGTCCATATTTTACAAGAGGCATTGGGTTCTTTTTTTTTTTTTTTTTTTTTTTTACTTATTTTTGGCTGTGTTGGGTCTTCGTTGCTGCACATGGGCTTTCTCTAGTTGTGGTGAGCGGGGGCTACTCTTCGTTGCGGTGCGCGGGCTTCTCATTGTGGTGGCTTCTCTTGCTGCGGAGCACGGGCTCTAGGCGCGTGGGCTTCAGTACTTGTGGTGCGCAGCCTCAGTTGTTGTGGCTCGCGGGCTCTAGAGCGCAGGCTCGGTAATTGTGGTGCACGGGTTCAGTTGCTTCGTGGCCTGTGGGATCTTCCCGGAGCAGGGCTCAAACCCATGTCCCCTGCACTGGCGGGTGGATTTCAACACTGCGCCACCAGGGAAGCCTGGCATCATGTTCTTGACAAAGGAGAACTGCAGCAATTACTAGGGAACAAGGCCATGGATTCTAGACCTGGGGCAAACCTCCTGGGCTGTATGTCAACGTTCTCATCTGTTACTCTCACACATCTTACCATAGCAGTTGCAGCTCTGTCAGTTTGCTGTGGGGATTATATGCAGTAAACGGGGGCCACCCAGTGTCAGCTGTGCTTTGAGCTCACCATCAAGTTGCCTCCGACACCCCCCCCCCCAAGGCCGGAAGCTGGATGTCCTCCCAGAGACTTCCGGAAGTCCCCAGAATGCCTAGTGTTCTGACGCTCACCTGTGTCATGCTTTCTTCTGCCCGGTCTCCCAAGACGCTTCGCCTGCTAGGGCTCGCTCCTTTCTTTCTGCCCTCCCCTGCCGGGCTCCGCTTACCCCCTCCGCTGCTCACCTGTGTATGCGGCACCTTTAGTGAAGGGTTGAGGCTCTGGAGGGCATTTTCTTACAGACACGGCACCAAGTGTGGGTTCTCTGCCCACCGGTGTCTCTCTTTTCCCTCCAAACCTCACACAGCATAAAACGGGACTCACCCCTGAGTGAGGAGGCCAGCGCATGCCCACCTTTCTCAAAAATCCTCTGCTATTCTGTCAGCTGCCCTGCCCTCAGCCCCCACTAGTCTCTATCCTCTGGGCCTTCAGATGTCTTTCTCCTGGGCTTCCTGCCTGTTTAGTCAGCTGTGGCTTTCTTTGACCAGGAAATACGCTGGTGTTCTTGTCTGTCCAGAAATTCCAAACGCTTCAGTTGTTTTTTTTTCTTTAATAATGTAACGTTACAAAGTAATATGTCTTTTTGTCAAACTGTGACACTACTGCAAGATTCTGATATGTCCCTATAAAATACACCAAAAAGGAAAGCTTGGCAAAGTCATCTTGGCTGGGGGCGGGGAGACGACACTGGTGAGAATGGCTGGGTGCCCGCCAACCGGGCTGGACAAGGCTCGCCCTCCAGAGCCCTGTGAGGCTATGGGGCACTTAGTGTGCCAGGCTCCCTTCCAAGCCTACATTTACTTTCTCATTTAAGGCTCACAGCAACCGTTGGAGGTGGATACTGTGCTTATCCCCATTAGTAAGCAGAATTTGAACCTCAGAGAGGGGACGTAAGGTGTCCAAGGTGACAGTGCTACTAGAAAGAGGATCTGGGATCTGAACCTCACCCTAAGCCTGCAGCCATTGGGCCATGCTCTTGCTTTCATTATGACATGGATTCCAGAATGTTCCAGAGAGTTCCTCAGAGGCAGGGAATGGGGTCTTCTAACTCAGACTCATCCTCCCGCTTCTTGCCTTGACAAGTATTTCTGCATTTCTCTCCTAGCCCAAGTCGTCAGGTGTGACACCAAGTTGAAGGACAAGTGTAAAGGGTCCACGTGCAACAGGTAAGGCCTGGCCCATCCCTGTCTCGCTGCCTACAGCCCTCTGAAGCACCTGCTCTCGGTCTTGGGTCACATCGTGATCTGTCAGCTGATCTACATCTGTAGAAATGCCAGATGTGCCTGCAGCAGATGTGCTATCGACAGGGAGATCCTGACCGATGTTTTTGTGAGGCTGGGGGCTCCTTCCCATCTCTCTGCATGAAGGGGTTACCCAGAGCTAGCACAGGCTAGCCCAGAGCTCTGTGCCGGGGACGACTGGGGCTGCGGCAGCGTTAGGGCAGGTGTGACCGTGGACGGGTCCAGCACGGCTGCTGTGCAATCCAAGTCGGCCTGCTCCCCGAGGGGCCCCACCAGACAAAGAGCGGCCTGCGTGTCGCCCAGCGTTGAACAAATTCATGTAGCTGACGGAGTCACTTAGTATCGTCCATTTCAGATGTTGAAAAACACCTGCCAAGAAGAACAAGCTTGGTTTTGGCAACGTAGCTGCTGGGCTGCGCCTTCTGGCAGTGAGTGGCCAACAGGTGTAGCGGCCCTACATGGGTCCTCAGGTGCACGGAAGGAAACTGTGTTATCGGTGGAGGGGCCCTTACTCTTCTTCCTATGGATTCTGGCGTCCATTCATCTAAAGCTGAATTGCATTTTTATGTTTTTTTCATTTATTTATTTTATTTATATTTATTTTTGGCTGCATTGGGTCTTCGTGGCTGCACACGGGCTTAGTCTAGTTGCGGCGAGCGGGGGCTACTCTTTGTTGCGGTGCGCGGGCTTCTCATCGCGGTACCTTCTCTTGTTGCGGAGCACGGGCAGTAGTGTAGTTGTGGCACACGGGTTCAGTAGTTGTGACTCGCGGGCTCTAGAGCGCAGGCTCAGTAGTCGTGGCACATGGGCTTAGTTGCTCCATGGCATGTGGGATCTTCCCAGACCGGGGCTCGAACCCGTGTCTCGTGCATTAGCAGGCAGATTCTTAACCACTGCGCCACCAGGGAAACCGTGAATCGTGTTCTTTAAAGCACACGCTAAAAGAGAAGGTATATGGTATTACCTAAAAGAGCGGGTCCTATTTTATACCATGGGGACTTTGTGATCTGGTTTGCCAGGACAATGCATCACTCAGACTTTGGCAGGAGTGTCCTGGGACAGACAGAGCAGCCCAGGATCAGATGTTCAAGGGGCTCATACGTCATCCCACGAGCAGCTGGCGATGGGCCAGCAAGTACTACGAAAGTAGAACCAGGCACTTCGTTGGTGAGATGAGCAAGACGTGGCAATGAGGGTGGTGGAATAACCGTCTGTCCCCTCGCACCGGAAGGGGTCTCCACTCCGCAAACTCACAGGTCTGGGATTCCCGGGACGCTCCCAAGTTGCCCCTTGGTGGTGATGTGCCTTTCTGAACCGCGGGCTTGTTACAAGAGCATCACGCCTGAATATTCAATGGGAAAAAGTGACAAGGTCTGGAGAACATTCGTTGTTAGCATCAAAAGAGCTGCAGGGTTGGGGGTAGATGGGACCCTCCCCAAGCACGGAAAAGGCAGGGCTCTGTCCACATGAAGACTGTTAGATGCCTCCAGTCAAGATATGGAACTCAGCCCACCTGCGACCACAAGAACGTTCACGGTGCAGCTCCTGGAAGCCGTCCCGCCATCTGTCACATCAGTTTTCTGTACGTGGTGCTTTTAAAAAAATAATATTTACTGGACTTTTTTTCTGACTTTAAAAGGTATTCTTGTTCATTGTAATTCAGGAAAACAACAACCAAAAGAAAGTATAAAGGAAAGAATAAGTGTCCCACAATCTCGTGAACGTCAGTAACCATTCTATGTAGTTTCTATGCACTGATTACTCTATACTGTTATGCAATCTTGTGTGTTACTGGTTTCACTTAAGGTTTTCCAAAGTCAATAACTATTCCTCAAAAACTTCATTTCTAGTGGCTGCATAATACTCTGACATTTGGCCACACAAAAGTATATTTGGTTATTCCTTTGACACCTGATGACTTATTTACAGTTTTTCCCTATTACAAATGGTTGGAGTAACATGGAGGTCTGACTTTCTGTCTTTTTACTTGGGAGATTCAAGAATTAAGGGATATGAATTTTTTTTTAATGGAAGCATAGTTAATTTACAGTGTTGTGTTAGTTTCAAGTGTACAGCAAAGTGATTCAGTTATACATATATATATTGTTTTTCAGATTCTTTTCCATTATAGGTTATTACGAGATTTTGAGTACAGTTCCCTGTGCTATATAGTAGGTCCTTGTTGGTTATCTGTTTTGTATATAGTAGTGGGTATATGTTAATCCCAAACTCCTAATTGATCCCTCACCCCGCTTTCCCCTTTGGCGGCCTTAAGTTTTCTATGTCTGTGAGTCTGCTTCTGTTGTGTAAATAAGTTCATTTGTATCATTTTTTTAGATTCCACATATAAGTGATATCATATACTTGTCTTTGTCTGACTTACTTCACTTAGTATGATAATCTTTAGGTCCATCCATGTTGCTGCAAATGACATTATTTTTTTATGGCTGAGTAGTATTCCGTTGTATATATGTACCACATCTTCTTTATCCATTCATCTGTTGATGGACACTTAGGTTGCTTCCGTGTCTTGGCTATTGTGAATAGTGCCGCTATGAACATTGGGATGCGTGTATCTTTGTAAATGAGAGTTTTTCATCTTTCCTGGATATATGCCCAGGAGTGGGATTGCTGGATCATATGGTAGCTCTATTTTTAGTTTTTTGAGGAACCTCCATACTGTTTTCCATAGTAGCTGCACTAATTTACATTCCCACCAACAGTGTAGGAGGGTTCCCTTTTCTCCACACCCTCTCCAGCATTTGTTATTTGTAGACTTTTTAATGATGGCCATTCTGGCTGGTGTGAGGTGATACCTTATTGTCGTTTTGGTTTGCATTTCTCTAATAACTAGCAATATTGAGCATCTTTTCATGTGCCTCTTGGCCATCTGTATGTCTTCTTTGGAGAAATGTCTATTTAGGTCTTCTGCCCACTTTTTGATTGGGCTGTGGTTTTTTAAAAAATATTAAGCTGTATGAGCTGTTTGTATATTTTAGAAATTAATCCCTTGTCGGTAGCATCATTTGCAAATACTTTTTCCCAGTGCAGAGGTTGTCTTTTCGTTTTGTTTATGGTTTAAGGGATATGAATTTTGAAGTCTTTCCGGAAAGATTAACTGTTGTTTGTGAACATGATCACCATCATTTAGTTTTATTCGATTAAAAAACCCTTGATGCCTGGAAAATGCCAACTCCTTTCAGTCTGCACATCTTTGGTGACTGATATCTGAGGATTTTTTTTTTTTTCTGGTGCCTTTGAAGCCACTTGTCTTTATTCTGTGGATTGTCTATCTGTTCATAGAATTGTCCATCTATTCAATTTGAACCTGAAGCACATGAAAATAGTCTTTAAGGAGGTCAAGTTGAATCTAATTGTGTCTGTGTGACTAGAAACTTCAGCCTGGGTGAATTGTGAGTTGCTCCAAAACAATGCATGCTATATCACTGACGCTTTTCTATATGTAATAATATAGAAGGGAAAACCCCCAATAAATTCACGATGAGGTTTCATGAACATGTTTACCTCTGAAAATCATCTTCTTTCTTCTCCATCAGGTACCAGTGCCCAGCAGGCTGCCTGCACCACAGGGCAAAGATCTTTGGGACTCTCTTTTATGAAAGCGTAAGTATGGCCAGCATTTCTTTGAATGGCTTGTGTGGACTCGTGTCTCTGTTTTAAAAGCAGGTGGCTGGTTTTCAGGTGAACAGCTTTTCTTTCCGCTCCTTAGTCAAGCCCCCCCTTTTTGTAGAGCGGATCCGTGTGTGTTTCTGGGGTCACAAACTTGTGAAGCCACTTTTGGGAACTGGGGGTGACCCTCGAGCAGCCAGTCTCCATTGTAGGCCGAGCGTTAAATGCTCCACTGGATGGGGAGAAAGGGCTGTTTGTCCCTGTTCTTAGTTTGTAACGCAACTCAGATGAGTTCTTAGAGATAAGCGCCCCCTGGAACAAAGACGTGTTATAGAGCGCAGCCAGAGTGAGAAGTGGGGTGAGCCTTGGCCCGGCGTTTTGTGGGTTGAGGACAAACATCTTGGATGTTTGGGGAAATGATCGCAGACAAAGATGAATTCAGATTTACTTACAGTCTGACCTGTCCCCCGCAGGCGTCCAGCATCTGCCGGGCCGCCATTCACTACGGGGTCCTGGACGACAAGGGAGGCCTGGTGGACGTCACCAGGAATGGGAAGGTCCCCTTTTTCGTCAAGTCTGAGAGAAACGGCGTGCAGTCTTTGAGGTAACTATGCGGTGATCAGGGTTCCCGAAGACTCCTTTTCTGCTTATGAGAGCACTGTTGAAACTTTGAAAAGTACTGAACAATATAAAGAAGGAGGAAAACACTGAAGGTGACCTTAATCCCATAACTCAGCAATCGCCCCTATTGGCCGTTCAGCCTATTTAATCCCAGTGGGTTTCGGTGTGTGTTTAATGTGGTTGAGTTTTGTTTCTTGTTTGTTTGTTTTTGTAGGTTTTAGGAAAGTTTATTGCGTATTTAAAATGAACACTGCTCTTAATTATGAAATGTACACATAGCCATGAAGATACAGAAAAACGGAAATAAAGAAATACTAATCTCTTCATTCCCACTTCCCAGAGATAATCTACGTACATGACCTTCAAAAGCATAGCCTTGCAATCTGAGTTCTGAATCCTGCTTTTTCTCCCTTCCTTGTCCCTGAGAACTCTTCAGACACATCAGTAATGACTGATGGTATCTTTGAGTTTGTAGGCTAATTCTTTTTTTTATATACACCTTTATTGGAGTATAATTGCTTCACAATGGTGTGTTAGTTTCTGCTGTATGACAAAGTGAATCAGCTATACATATACAGATATCCACATATCTCCTCCCTCTTGAGCCTCCCTCCCACCCTCCGTATCCCACCCCGTTGGCTAATTCTTGATTGGCACTTTTTTTCCCCCTGAGAACGAGGCTTTCATTTTTTAAATATACTTAAAATTCTTGTTTTTGCAAGGTGTTTTTCATGTAAGGTATGTGGATGGCTGACGGGGCAGACCACCTTCGCCATTCTGACTTTTGGGGGTTGATGGGGTTGGGGGGACCGTGAAGAACTGCGGGAGATCATGTCTTGATCTGTCCATGGCATCTGAGGCATAAGGTGACCAGGAGCTGGTGGGACCCACTGGGGGCTCTAGGGTCAAACAGACCCGGCTCTGACTTCTCCCTTTGCGTGACCTGGGCTGGCTTCTTCATCCCGTCGGGGTGGCAGTACTCTCATTTATAAATGAGGACCACGGCAGGACCCGGGGCTGACACCCAGCTAACCCACCACGAGGCAGCATGTCAGGGATCCCCGTGTCAGTGCCCATCCCAGGGTCTGCAGCAGGAAGGCACCCAGCAGACGCTCCTGTGATAGTTACAAGGTGGCACGTCCACGTCCCTTCCAAATAGCGAGGCCACTCAGAACATTTCAAAAACTACACGAGTCATTCTGTTTGGAAAGGCCTGGTTCTTCGGGCAGTGTTGCAATATTCCTTCTTCTGTCTTAGCTGGGGATTTTATGTAAACAAAAAAAGAGCAAGGAAGTTTAAACGAAAGCAAAGAAAATATTCATGGAGAGATCGGTTGCGTGACCTCAACCCCAGCCTTGATGAAGCTCCGCCCCACCACTGGTGGAGCTGTGGGCTTGACCAAGGGTTCAGGTCCTGCATTGCCTGGGACCCTTGTCCTGAATCCATTTCTGGTCCCTTCCAATGGCCAACTTTACATCTAGAGTGGGGTTCTTCACGTCTTAGAATTAGAGTCGGGGAGTGTGTGAATGCAAAGCAAATTGAAACTTTAGTTTCACTCACCTCTGATTGAAATGTGGTATTTTCTTCCCTGATGGGTGTTAGCCCCCAATCTGAGTAGCACTCGTAGGGCCAGCGACTTTCTCACGGGTAGGCATCCACGTGACGGAGGCACCTTGAAACAGCCTCTGCTGTCATGATCCCCAAATGACAGCAGTTAGAAGACCTGCCGCTAGGTTCTGTTTTCAATACGTTAATAAAGGTGCAGAGCTATGACGCTAACACACGTTTGTCTTAATACTTCGATGATGATATTAATACCTGATTTCCTTCTAATCTTTTCAATTTATCATTGCATTTTAAAACCATCGTTCTGAGAAGGTGTCCGTAGGCTGTACCAGGCTGCTAGAGGGACCCTTGGCACCAAGAAGATTAACGAGCCCTGCTCTAGAACCTTCTCATTCTAGATCCTGCTCTAGAGTGTCCCAAGGGCTCTCAGGCTGATGGGAAACAAGTAGAAAAATGTAAAGTTGAGGCCGTAAATAAAATAAGTGCAGGAACAAGCGTGTACTTTCAGACGCGTTTCTGTTTGCATTTACCCAATGATTCCTTTTACAGCAAATACAAGGCCTCCAGCTCCTTCACGGTGTCGAAGGTAAAAGGTAAGCCGGCCAGTCTTTTCTCATATGACCGCAATACGCAGGTTATCTTGGGTCTCCCTGGAACTGCATTCCTCTTAGTTACTGATTTAATGTTTACCGTGTCTGCTGATGTTGCTCTTCTCAGCACTGTAAAGATGGTTAAGAGGTTCCTGAGGAGGTTGATCCTTTAACTAATTTTTTTAAATATCATGACTTAGGGGGAGTTGCCCGGCAGTCCAGTGGTTAGCACTTGGCGCTTTCACTGCTGTGGCCCAGGTTCAGTCTCTGGTTTGGGAATTAAGATCCCGCAAACCGTGGGGCACGGTGAAAAAAAAAAAAAATCTGAACTTGGCCATGGACCTAGATAGCTAACCTGAAACACAGGCATGGGTTCCCAGCTGACTGTCACAGAAGTACTAATGCCTGGGTCTAGAGTAGCTAATAGGTTGCATAGGGAGTGTCAATTTCTAGTGAGCGATAGTGGCTACCTGGAGCGTCGTTTTGAGAAGGATTCTGAGGCCTCATTCTGGGCTCAGCAGAGCACGGAGCTTGATAGATTAGTAATGTCTGCCATGGACAAGAGAGGGAAACGTGGGGAAGTCCGTGGCCCATACTTGCTGTCTCTGGCCCAGATTTTTGTATGGCCTCCAGGATG